ATTAATGTTCATATTTACTTGATCATAGACTGTTTTACTATTTTAATTGATTATTAAGAACTAGAAAGAATTGACATTTGTAATCGATCATCTATGATCAACTTTGGAATAGATTCTTTAGTTGTTTATTTTGTTGTTCATCTGAAATCATAACTTATGGAGTTCAATCATAATTATGCAATATAATGATTTAGTTGTTTAAAAATAGTAGAGCTCCCAACTGTTATTGTACGGCCGAGAGTGGAGAGAGTCAGCTCTCCCTCGAAAAATGCTCTCACATGACCACGCGTATATAGCATCTGCCAGGGCAGTCCTACTCACTGCCTTCTCATGGCGGTGGTGTTGTTTACGAAATTGAGAGGACAAAAAGCGAATGTCCGGCACTTTAACCGGATCCAAAACTAATGGTGCACATGGGTTAGCTCTAGTATCCTGAAGGAACAAATGGCGTATGATCCAATCGTTGGTCACCGACTACCATTGAATTGCATCTCCTCACGATGCTTCACTGCCTTGTTGGTCAGACGTTCAGGTCGAAGGCTCGGGGTGCGGCCTCTTAAGAAAATCACCTACTTCGGTTTATGCACCCGAGCAGTATCACAGCCCTCACACATATCAAATGGAATTTGTGTGGCGCATATGTATTTGGTGCCTCCTTGCATCATTATCTGTGTTAAAATATATAAATCAATAAAAGATATCCTACTCTTTTATATTTGCCTCAAAGTTGCTATGGGTTCTACATTGTATAGTATCGTACATGATATATATTCTCTATTGAAAAGTTTCAAAAACTATACAGATGTCTTCTCTTTTTATTTTGTTTTTGTGTACTAAACAAAATGTCTATTGAAGAGATGAGTTAACAATGTTACTGTTTGCCTCAAAATAACTGATTAAAGATACAAATAGTTTGATGTAGTTATAAATGATTATTGATTGGGTTAGTTGGAGTATGTATAATATAAGCCTTAACACTTCTTACCTTAACACATGATTTTTTATGATCTAGGAATGATCAAACTCAAATGTGATCCTATTTCATGAAATCGTTAACTGTTAGATCAATTCAATGTTAACAAGTGTTGATTAACTGAATAAAGATCCGACTAATTATTGTAACATGATTGTGTGTAAATATAGTTCAAGAATTGTTTACAATAGTGTAAATTTATTCACTTCTTATCTTTCTTTAAATCTATACGTTTTTATATAATTTTATACTTTATATTCGATTGGTTTATTCATTCTCTCAAATTATATGATCCATTGCCTATTGTTTTCTACTACTACTACTACTACTACTACTACTACTACTACTACTACTACTACTACTACTACTACTACTACTACTACTACTACTACTACTACTACTACTACTACTACTACTACTACTACTACTACTACTACTACTACTACTACTACTACTACTACTACTACTACTACTACTACTACTACTACTACTACTACTACTACTACTACTACTACTACTACTACTACTACTACTACTACTACTACTACTACTACTACTACTACTACTACTACTACTACTACTACTACTACTACTACTACTACTACTACTACTACTACTACTACTACTACTACTACTACTACTACTACTACTACTACTACTACTACTACTACTACTACTACTACTACTACTACTACTACTACTACTACTACTACTACTACTACTACTACTACTACTACTACTACTACTACTACTACTACTACTACTACTACTACTACTACTACTACTACTACTACTACTACTACTACTACTACTACTACTACTACTACTACTACTACTACTACTACTACTACTACTACTACTACTACTACTACTACTACTACTACTACTACTACTACTACTACTACTACTACTACTACTACTACTACTACTACTACTACTACTTACTACTACTACTACTACTACTACTACTACTACTACTACTACTACTACTACTACTACTACTACTACTACTACTACTACTACTACTACTACTACTACTACTACTACTACTACTACTACTACTACTACTACTACTACTACTACTACTACTACTACTACTACTACTACTACTACTACTACTACTACTACTACTACTACTACTACTACTACTACTACTACTACTACTACTACTACTACTACTACTACTACTACTACTACTACTACTACTACTACTACTACTACTACTACTACTACTACTACTACTACTACTACTACTACTACTACTACTACTACTACTACTACTACTACTACTACTACTACTACTACTACTACTACTACTACTACTACTACTACTACTTACTACTACTACTACTACTACTACTACTACTACTACTACTACTACTACTACTACTACTACTACTACTACTACTACTACTACTACTACTACTACTACTACTACTACTACTACTACTACTACTACTACTACTACTACTACTACTACTACTACTACTACTACTACTACTACTACTACTACTACTACTACTACTACTACTACTACTACTACTACTACTACTACTACTACTACTACTACTACTACTACTACTACTACTACTACTACTACTACTACTACTACTACTACTACTACTACTACTACTACTACTACTACTACTACTACTACTACTACTACTACTACTACTACTACTACTACTACTACTACTACTACTACTACTACTACTACTACTACTACTACTACTACTACTACTACTACTACTACTACTACTACTACTACTACTACTACTACTACTACTACTACTACTACTACTACTACTACTACTACTACTACTACTACTACTACTACTACTACTACTACTACTACTACTACTACTACTACTACTACTACTACTACTACTACTACTACTACTACTACTACTACTACTACTACTACTACTACTACTACTACTACTACTACTACTACTACTACTACTACTACTACTACTACTACTACTACTACTACTACTACTACTACTACTACTACTACTACTACTACTACTACTACTACTACTACTACTACTACTACTACTACTACTACTACTACTACTACTACTACTACTACTACTACTACTACTACTACTACTACTACTACTACTACTACTACTACTACTACTACTACTACTACTACTACTACTACTACTACTACTACTACTACTACTACTACTACTACTACTACTACTACTACTACTACTACTACTACTACTACTACTACTACTACTACTACTACTACTACTACTACTACTACTACTACTACTACTACTACTACTACTACTACTACTACTACTACTACTACTACTACTACTACTACTACTACTACTACTACTACTACTACTACTACTACTACTACTACTACTACTACTACTACTACTACTACTACTACTACTACTACTACTACTACTACTACTACTACTACTACTACTACTACTACTACTACTACTACTACTACTACTACTACTACTACTACTACTACTACTACTACTACTACTACTACTACTACTACTACTACTACTACTACTACTACTACTACTACTACTACTACTACTACTACTACTACTACTACTACTACTACTACTACTACTACTACTACTACTACTACTACTACTACTACTACTACTACTACTACTACTACTACTACTACTACTACTACTACTACTACTACTACTACTACTACTACTACTACTACTACTACTACTACTACTACTACTACTACTACTATCACTTATATTGTTATTAATTCTACCACTCTGGTATTTATCTCAATAATTTCTTCTCGGTTTGCTAATGTGCTATATCATTGTGAACTAATGCACGTATATGCCAGGTTCTACATTATTTATGATTGACTAAAGTGACAAGTGTATCAGGTGTAGAATTATAACTGCTCAACTATCTGATTGGTATCATGTCTTATGTTATGCTTATTATTTATTTATTTGTGTACTTCTGTTAATCGAATTGTATGAGACACTATGTGTCATAGTTGGACAATTTATTATTTATTTATTTGAACACATAAATATTGATACAAAGGGGCACCAAATACATATATGCTACACAACTCATTTGGTTTGTGCGTGGGTTATGATACTGACTGGTACAGATGGTTTACTTCGAGGGTCACACCCGGAGCCTTTGATTGAAAGGTCTAATCCACAAAGTAGGACATGCAGTCCCATGGTAGTCAGTGACCAACAATACGCTCATACTCCATTTGTTCTTTCAGGATAGTGAATCCAGTTCATGTACACCATTGGTTTGAAATCAGGGTCTTCCAACTGCTCTAAGCGCAAATCCTCCGTATCCACCAACCCGGTTAATAAACGGATATTCGTTTCTCATCCATCCTCTCAATTTTGTAAACAACACCCATGGTGGGAGAAGGTAGTAAGTAGGACTTCCCTGACAGTGGCTGTATACGCATTGTCATGTGTGAGAGTATTTTAAGAGGGAGGAAGGATTCATAGAACCCTCAACACTACCAGGGCATTTGGTGGCCATATTTAAATATTGCTAATCTCAAATACAAATTTATATTGAATATTCTTTTATTTATATAATAGTGAATAATGCTTTTAGATCTTTTCAGTAGTTCTTGAACTCATTATCTCTTCAAAACAATCATCAAGTTTGTTTACAATATCATTCCACTATTTACAGTTTTTTATATTTTTCTACACTTTATTGATTATTAGTAATGTTGATGTTGTTGTTGTTGTTGTTGTCGTCGTCGTCGCCGTTGTCGTTGTTTTCTGCTTAGTTACAAAAAAAAAAAGAACAAGTATACTAAACATTTTTTTCTATGTTTAAAAATTAAGCAAATCTAAGATAAATAACTACATTTTCTTTATTTTTCAATATAGATTATTGTAATTTATTCATAATCAATAAATATGTGTAACTATGGTTTTTTATTCAAATAATCATTAGTTTCCATCTCTTCTGTTTCCTTTTCACTTACTTATTGATTTTTTTTTCCTTTTTATGATGATTAATAAAGGTGAAGTATTTGATCATTTAGTAGCACATGGTCGAATGAAAGAACGTGAAGCACGTGCTGCATTTCGTCAAATTGTATCAGCAGTTGAATATTGTCATCAAAAAAAAATTGTACATCGAGATTTAAAGGTTTGTTAATCATTGTTCTATTTCTTCTTATTTTGTTGATTTTATAAAGGATTTTCAAGTTTATTTTATTTTAACATATTGGTATTGGTACACGGAGGCACCAAATACATATGCGCCATACGAATCTCAATTGATTTGTATGAGGGCTGTGATAATGTCTGAGGGCCCAAACCGAAGCAGGTGGTTTTCTTAGGAGGCCACACCCCAAGCCTTCGACCTAAAGGTCTGACCCACAAGGGAGTGGAGCATCGTGAGGAGATGCAGTCCCATGGTAGCCGGTGACCAACGATTGGTTCATACGCCATTTGTTCCTTCATGATATTGGAGCCCATGTGCACGATTGGTTTGAGATTCGGTTAAAGCGCCGGGCGTTCGCTTTTCATCCTCTCATTTTCGTAAACAGCACCCCCGCCGCCATGAGAAGGCAGTGAGTAGGACTTCCCTGGCAGAGGCTACGTACTCATGGCCATGTGAAAGCATTTCGAAAGGGATAGCTGACTCTCCCCACTCTCAGCCGTACTAGGGCATTTGGGTGCATGATCTTAGCTCAGAGAGCCGAGAAGCGATATATATATCAAGCGTGTTCCATCTGATTTTCTACACTAAACGAGAACTAGGTTTGAAATATATGTACAATTAATAACCTAATGTCGAAAGATGATTACAGAAGTTTTCGTAAGGCGACATATGATTAATGGATTTCAAGTATGTCATTCTTAAGATAAATATCACCACTGGTAATATGTAATCATTTAATGTCGTGAAGTAACTGAAGCTAGAAATGTAAACCCTTTAATTGTTAACTTAGTTGTTTGATGGTTAAATAATTGTCTGGAGGGTTGCAGGTTCCTGGTTCAATATTTTTTCAGATTTGTATAGGTTTACCCGGAATAGTACTATACTAGAACTGAATAGCTATTTAGTGCTTCCCGGTTCTCAGTAATTGTTTGATCAAAGTCAATCTATTATTTGCAACTTTGCATTCATTTAGAATCAGATTACTCTAAGTAGTAAATTATCTATTCGCATATTACTTTTCATGTATATTTAGATGTTTAAACGTCTACTTAGTGGATCAGTTATTGGCACTTGTACATTATACATAACTGTTGGGGAAGTTAGATCCCCAGAACTCATTTGGGAAAGGACCTAATTTTGTAATTTTATTTAGAAAATTTGAATTTCTTTGTTTTCGCGCCACATGCGCTCTTTTCACCTTCATGGCGTATTTCTCACTTGGGAGTATCTTTAGCGCTATTGGTCCGTTGTGTTTTTTAGTCTGCTATTTTGTAACTCTCCCCAAGGACGGTTTTGTACTGTGTATATACGTTTTGATTTGTGTTTGTTATTATCGCTCGTTTCTGGCTGTTTGCAGAATATTCTTCCCCATTCCAAACTTGGACTTCTTCCTCTAGTTAGCGGGGCTGGGACACATCGAGTACCTAGCTTATCGGTCTCTCGTCACAAGTCTTTGTTTCCGTTCTCAGTCTAAGTGAACTCGTAATCGCTTCAAACATAGCAATAACCGAAACTAGCGAGCTTCAACTTGGAAGCAGGGTTTATGGCAATATCCTTTACAGAGAATCTAAGTTTCCAGTGACTGCCTTCCTGTGTTATTGACCTTCATTTAATGTCTTAATGTGTTGTCAGCACTTTTTTATGTGATGTTTACATGCAGTAATGCCGTGTTACTTGTTGTTACACATGATTTCTAAAATATCATCTTAAGTTTTTTAATTGTATGAATTCATATCATATCATATTCATATCTCTAAAAACCAAGAATAAGTACTTCTCATAATAACCTTCAGTTTTCCCGTATTCTTTGTAGTTACGGATTAAACCACTGCTAGCCACTATCCATCTTTGCGTATAATGCTTGTAAATTAAGGCAATATCGATGCATACGCACAGTATGCACATATGCCAATAAGAGACTGAAGAATTTCAGTTCTAAACATCAATGGGAAGATTCAAATAAAACAATATCAAGTGAATTAAACTTGACCCGATTGCACAAGCAAGTGGCTCTCAGGACTCAGTAGTTAAGTGGATAACGCGCGATGGCGTTTGAAGCGGACGGTACTGGGTTCGAGTCCCGGAGTGTTCATGTCTTAAGTTTCCACCTTGAAAAACAGTAAAAAAAGGAATCACAGGATAAACCTATTTTCGCTCTTAGCTATTTCGTACGTTGACACAGATACAATAAAAGCTCTATTGTGTAGTAATAACATATAGATTAGCTCCGCATTACTTTGTGGAATGATATTCTATTTCTTTTTTTTTAAATACTAGAGTAGAACAGTTCAATTATCGATATAATTTTCCATTGTATTTCAGGCTGAGAATCTTCTCTTTGATGGATATTATAATATTAAACTTGCTGATTTTGGTTTCTCCAATCTTTTTGATGGATCTAAAAAATTAGATACATTTTGTGGTAGTCCACCATATGCTGCACCAGAATTATTTCAAGGACGTAAATATGATGGTCCAGAAGTGGATGTATGGTCATTAGGTGTAATTTTATATACACTTGTTAGTGGATCATTACCATTTGATGCACAACATTTAAAAGTTAGTTTTAATTGTTTCGATTATTTTTTATAGGATTTGCTTAAACTATTTATTTAACTGTATACGTATATCTTTTCGGATTGCTTCTGGTACATTTACCTACTTTAATCAACATACTATGTACAAGGGGGGCATAAAATGCATATGCGCCACACAATAACCATGAGGCCAGTAGCAGTTATCATTGATTTGTATATGGGCTGTGATATCGCCCGGGTACCCAAACCGAAGCAGGTGATTCACTGATTCACAAGACAGTAGAGCCACGTTAGGAGATGCAGTCCCATATTTGCCGGTGACCAACAATAGCTTCATACGCCATTTGTTCTCTCAAGATCCTGGAGCCCATATGCACCATTGGTTTGAAATCAGGGTTTTCCAACTGCTCTGTATGGATGCTTCTTGTCCAACAATCCGGTTAGACCGCCGGATATTCGCTTTTCTCCCTGTCAATTTCGTAAACAATAGTAATAGCGCGAGAACATAATGAATATGACCTCCCTGGTAGTGGTTGCATACACGTGGCCATATGAGAGCCTGTTTCGATGGAGAGCTGACACTCCCCACTCTCGGCGGTACCAGAGTATTTGGGGGCAGTAGTCATTTTATACTTATTTAAATTAGATTAACCTCAATAAACTATTTATGTTATCTAATGACTTCATGTTCACCTACTGATACAGACTATCTTTTGAAAAGTGGTCGATTGTTTTCCAGATCCATCTAAACAGTAGAATAAAGAAATCATCAGGTGAATATTTTTCAATTCAAGTGAATAGTGAAGTTCGTCCATGAAAAGAATAGACAGTTATCTAGCATCTTATGTTTGCTTTAGACATTCATTAGTTCAAAGTTAGTCGTACGAACACATACACATATAGGAATTAGTTCTCATGGTAATTATTTCACTAGCTTTTCTTGATTTAATCTACGATTGATAATTGAAATTTCTGATAAGGTTTGACTTCTTTTTTTTTTCATCCAACTTTTTCATGCATATATAATACACATTTATATGTATATGTATATATGTGTATGTACATAAATATATTCTAGGATTTACAAGAACGTGTATTACGTGGCAAATATCGTGTTCCATTCTATATGTCAACTGATTGTGAAGCATTACTTCGTAAACTGTTGGTATTGAATCCAGCCAAAAGAGTCACATTAAGGGTAAATCAATATAAATAATTATTCACGCTTAACATTTTTCTTTATTTTTGTCTTTATTATCTAACTGAAACTGTCTGAGGAGTCCCACAATAGGACGAAACGGCTGTCTAGTGCTTCCAGGTTTTCAATGAATTTCTAATATCAATCGGTTCATAATCTCAATTAAAAACTTGACAATCTCCACAACCCTTAAACGGATGAAACGGTCTAGTTTTTCGATAGTGCAATGAGAAGACAAAGTTTATCAGAATTATGTGATGATATATATATTTGCGCAATACATTTCGAACAATCTGATCGCACATCTACACTTGTTAAGAGCATTTATATATGAAAATTAAAAGGTTAGGAGTAGTCCATAACAAAGGGAAAAATATTAAAGTACACAAAAACAAATGTGATTACCACTCTGGATACAAAGTCAGTATTACCAGGATAGGTTAAGTGTATGGACAAATTATTTTTGAACAATTAAAGGGGGTTTCAATTTCCGTATAGTCAAAGCTTCGATAAACCCTTAGTATATGTCCTTGAAGGCGTAAAACACTACAAATACTGATTTGATGTCTACCTTTTGACCCATCTCAGTCAAATGTTTCTCAATGAAGGATGATGATATCTGTCTATTTTGTAATCTTATTTGACCATTGGAATCCATTTGTTTCTGTAACCATTTTGGTATGGTATTCAGTCTAGTTTTTGTGTTGAACTAAGTAACCATGTACATATATATGTACATGAGTAGTTTTCCATTTTTATAATTAAGTCATCATTTACATCAGCAAATAGATTATTGTTATAATGAAATTTGTTTAAACCTTTATTTTATTTATTTATTTATTTATTTAAATACACAAATATTGATACATAGAGGCACCGAACAGGTATATACCACTCTTCGTCATTTGATTTATGCGAAAGCTAGGATACTGCCCAGATGCCCAAACCAAAACAGGTGGTTTTCTTTAGGGGGGCCACAGATAGATTAAAGAAATTGTTATATCTAGAAGGTTGATTACTTGATAGACCGCGTATAACTGAACACTAGAACGCCAAAACCCTTCCAAGTCGCAAGGAGAAGACCGAAAATTAGTGAATGAAATGTTATTCCAAACGGTGTCAATTATGGGTACAAATTGTCAGGTATTTATAGTTTTTAGTAAGAACAAAAATCATCATTATAGTCCTCCAATCCGCATACAGGAGGTTATTAGCCTTGTCCAATTGGGAAGCTACATGTAGGAATTCTAGAACATTCTTCCTAACCGTGATTAAATGGAATATGTTCGGCTCCTTCTGAGCCTCTTATAGCTTCCTTGAGTTCACCCGTGGTCCGTCGTCATAGAAATATTTCTCTTCATCAATCGGTTATGTGTTAGGTAATCATTCTATTGTTAATACTTTTATGATAATTACATCTTATTGTTCTGTTATAATAGAACAACTTGAAATGATGTAGATAGTGTTGTTAGGTTCCATGTTATATATCACTGATTGCTTTTTTTTTTCTCTTTAAATCATGAATTGTAGTTTCTTACTTGTTAGTAGTAGTTAAATAGTTGAATTGATCGCTTCTCTTTTAGTTCTAGGATTTTATAGCTAGTATTCATTCCTTGAAGATTGTAGTTATCCCGTATTGACATCAAATACTACTGACAACCAACCACTTAATATCTTTAATATAATGCATATTAAATCCTTTTGAATAGTTACATCATTCGAATTGGATTGCTTTATTTCTCTTATTTTCTAATGACATTTAAGAATATTTCTTAATAAATCACACCTTTTTATGTAGTTTTAACTGATACTCATAAGCTACTAGTACTTGATCACAGATATTGCTCACATCTGCTGGAATTATTGAGTAACTAATAATGTGGTTAGATATGTAGAGTATAAGGGGAATGATGGTCAATCAGTTTGATGAAGTTTTAAATATACATCGACTGAGATAGTTTGATCACGTTATTGTATTATGCCTAAACACTGATTATTACTGTAATGCACAATGCTAACTGGTTCCTAAGAAAAATAGAGGTGACCAAACCATAACATGTCATCAATGCTTAAAGTCACTAATTCTTGGTTTAAGTCGTGCTAGTAGATGCAGTTCACGTAACTATAGTAACCAACAATTAGTTTATTTGATTATGTTGAGTATTCTAATGAAATTAGTATACTGATTTTATGTTCAACTTAATAATTGATTTAATTCAGTGTTTTTATTGATCTTTCCAAAGTTATATATCCATATTCCCTTCTTTTCTTCTTTTATTTTTTTCGTTTTCTTTCATAACATCACATCGTCGTTGTGTACTTCCGTCTTTCCTTACTTTATAAAAGGAAATTGTCCCTAAATTTTTGTCGACTTAATTATCATATTTCTTTACAATTATGTTTCATTGATTTACTTCAATAGAATGGGTCTTTTTTTCTCTCATGTTTTGTTCTGTCTTCTCTCTGTATGTATGTATGTATGTATGTATGTATGTATGTATGTATGTATGTATGTATGTATGTATGTATGTATGTATGTATGTAGTTGTGTACGTGTGTGTGTGTGTAGTAGGTGTAGGTGTAGGTGTTTGCATATTCATTCTCGAAACTTCTATTCGTCATTTATTATGAATATTAATTGGTTTTTTAATGATGATATAAGATACATATAGTTTCTGGCACATATATATAAATATAAATATACTTGTGACTGAATAGTGTTTCATTTGAGTTATTCCTGTTGACTTATTCTATTGTCCATTGAGATATAACATGAATATAGAATAACGAATGATATTAGATACTAAATTCATTTATCTCATTGATTTATATGGAATAGTTTTCATTCTATTTTGGTAGTTACTTCTAATTTATAACAGAACAGATTTTGTTTTTTGTTTTTTTTTTTTTTTTGTGATTGTATACATTGAAATTACTATGATATTCTAGTGAGAAGCAGTGATTATAGTGAAGTTCAACTGGGTCTGTTGTGAGGATGGTAACTTATCGAAGCCAATGATGGATGGTGGTGCGATTTCATGGATTAGTTGAAGTTAGACATGAACACCGTTGGATGCTAATTCAGTGGTGTAGAGCATCAGTGCTCGCACATGAGACTGATAGGTTTTGAGTTTGAATTTCGCAAGGAGAGATTGTGAATATGCACTAGTGAAAAGTCCCACAATAGGATGAAACGTCCATTCAGCTTTTCCATAATGATCTAACTGTTATAAAACCTAAGTCAAACTGGACTTTCCTCTGATTAGTATATACAATTTAAATTCATCTAGGTTATTAATTATATTGACATTCGATTGATAAGGTTCAATCAACTATCTAAACCTTCTACAGTATGATTTTGGTTTACAATTCAACAATGAGTTCATGTTAAATCATTATTATATGTGTTACAATCATATGTGTTTCAATCGTTAAGATCATGAATCAGTTGAAACTAGACCACCATGGAAAACCTAAAAGCACTGGACTGCCTTTTTCGTCTTATTGTGAGACTTCTCAGTGGCATTGCGCATCCACAACCTCGCCCCCTACGAGATTCGAATTCAGGATCTACTGCTTTTATGTTCTTAGATTAAAGGAAATTTTACCAAAAAATAAATAAACAAACTAGTTAGCTATTATATAAACCTTATTGTTACTCATTTTGTAATAGATTGTATCTCTCATTAATACAATATTAAATGATCTATTGGCAACAGATCAATTGCCAATTATCTTATACGCACACACTCACACATATACACACACACATATACATACATACACACACATATATACATATATGATCGATCTATAATCTTAGATAAGAATGAAATTATCCTTCATATTGAAATTCTTCTTTAATAATAATCTATCTACTCTATGAATTAGTTCCGTTTTTCTTTTTAAAGAGAACATGTATGTTTATATTTCTAGTTCGAGTGATCTTCTTTCTATCTATAATAATTGATTGTCGTTATGGAAGGATGGTAATATGTCACTATTTTAACTATATTTATTTATCGGCTAGTTACTATTATTATTATTATTATTATTCTAATGATTAAACATCATAATCATTTGTCTGTTTCCTTCCGCCTACCTACCTACCTACCTACCTGCCTACCTACTTTATTGTCTCTTTTAATAAAAACAACTTCTGATCTTTCTTCTTTTCTTTTCTTTTTTTTTTTAGATTATTCACACTAACTTGTTTCTTATCTTCTTGGTTGTTGTGTACTTGTTTAGGTTTATTGATCTTTTATTTTTAAAAAAAAACAAACATTTTATTGTCCTTGTCTCTCTCTCCACCCCTAAAACAAAATATGCTTCTACTTAGAGAATTATATTCCATATAAGAATCCTGTTGCTATGTTCGTCATACTGTGTCATTTATTAATGGACTGTTATGATTATGATTAACATTGTCTAGACAATTTTTCATTGTCCAAAATAGTCATAATCATCTCATCATTAATGATGATGATGATAATAATAATAATTCTATTTGCATACAGTTTGACGATCTGCTTTTCAGTTAATCAGTCAGTAATAACGTAGTACTTTGTTCCTATGTATATCAGTTCGAGTTGTCATACCACATTAGCACAGTGATATAATTGTTGATTTAAATCCTATAGTAGTAGAAGTAGTAAAAGTATAAACAGTAATTGGAAAGATTAGGGTTTGAAGATGTTATTCAAGGAGTATAATCCAGTAAAATAAACTTGGAAAGAGAAAAAAAGAAGAAAGGGACATGAAGAAATCAGAAGATTAGAATTTGGTAGAATACAAAGAGTGTAAACGATTTTTTTTAGCCATGTCATTCAAGGTCTCTAACCAGCGGTTGCTATCATCTTGCGGATCCCAACCAGTCAGTCTATACTTACCAACATGACTCAGTCCATTTGTTCGTATTGACTTCATGGATTTGTGCCATGTTTTGGTCTGGCTGCCACTAGCTTTCTTCCAACCTACTCCTATACCATTGAATATTGATC